GTAGTAAGTAGTAGTAGTAAAAATACTAGTATTTAGTGATAGTAGTAGTAGTAGTAGTAGTAGTAGTAGTAGTAGTGGTAGTAGTAGTAGTAGTAGTAGTAGTAGTAGTCGTAGTAGTAGTAGTAGTAGTAGTAGTAGTAGTAGTAGTAGTGGTAGTAGTAGTAGTAGTAGTAGTAGTAGTAGTAGTAGTAGTAGTAGTAGTAGTAGTAGTAGTAGTAGTAGCAGTAGTAGTAGTAGTAGTAGTAGTAGTAGTAGTAGTAGTAGTAGTAGTAGTAGTAGTAGTAGTAGTAGTAGTAGTAGTAGTCGTAGTAGTAGTAGTAGTAGTAGTAGTAGTAGTAGTAGTAGTAGTAGTAGTAGTAGTAGTAGTAGTAGTAGCCCTGAGTCGCCGAAAGATCGTTCCAAGACGCCCAAGATGGCCTCCAGACGGCCGTAGCGCCAAGAAACCGCGGGGAGACTCAGGAGGCCCTCCAAGAGCCTGAACAAGCAAAAACCTCCCAGGCATTCATCACCCCAGGGCCTTCTGGAATGCCCCGGCGCCCAATAAATTGGCGAGCTAAAAACGTGCGCCGAGCCAAAGCGGGAGCGCAACTTTGAGAAAATGTCGCTCGGCGCCCAAGCGAGAAGGTCATTTCATACACTTCGAGCGGGGGGGGGGTGCGGCACCCAATTCTTGCCATGCACTTTTGCGGGGTGGACGACAAGAACAGCTATGTGGGCAAGCGAAAATCAGCATGGCATTGCTTCTGACAAGTAAGGTGGCCCCTCCCGCCTTGGGGTTGCCCCAGAAGTCCGCGCGCGATGTGCGCCGCGCCCCATTCCTGCCACGCATTTCGCATCGTCGACGACAAAACAAGCCATGATGAAAGGAAAACGGCAATGTTTTTTACAATCAGGATGGGAAGGCCCGCAGCCCGCATGGACGTCCGCGCGCGATGCGCGCCGCGTCCCATTCCTGCCACATATTTCGCACCGTCGGCGACAAGGCAGGCCATGCTGAGAGGAAAAAACGGAGACTTCGTATTGATTTCTTACAGTCAGGATGGGCAGACCCGGATTGACGGCCGCGCGCGATGTGCGCCGCGTCCCATATGTACGCCGCGTCCCACTGCTGCCACATATTTTGCACCGTGGGCGACAAGGCATGCCATGCTGAGATGAAAAAACGAAGACTTTGTATTGATTTGTTACAGTCAGGATGGGCGGGCCCAGATTGACTGCCGCGCGCGATTTGCGCCGCGTCCCATTCCTGCCACGCTTTTCGCATCGTTGACGACAAAAAAGACGATGTTGAGAAGAAAAACGGCCACTTTGTTTTGATTGTTTACAGTCCGGATGGGAGGTCCCGGATTGGGCCGCTATCGGCCGGAATACGAGGTAGGTGGGGGTATATAATAATAAGGAACAAGGATGTGGGTGTGGGCGTGGGCGTGGGCGTGGTCGTGGGCGTGGGCGTGGGTGTGGGTGTGGGTGTGGGTGTGGGTGTGAGTGTGGGTGTGGGTGTGGATGTGGGTCTGGGTGTGGGTGTGGGTGTGCAGACGCGCGCGTTCCGCTGCTTGCACTCGACCTTCTACGCAAAAAAATTGGTTTAGGTGCGGGTGTGGATGTGGGTGGGCCCTCGCGCGCGCCCCGCCGCCGCCCCCGCGGCCGCCGCCCGCTGCCTGCCCCGCCGCCACCTGGCCACTGCCCCGCGAGGGGCCCGCCGTCTTCCCTTTTCTTTCTTTCCCGCCGGCTCTGGCCGCGCGGGCGCCTGACGCCATGGCAAGCCGCCTGGCCGACACGACCGAAACGTGCGCGCATGTGTGCGTGTGCGCGGAGCGACACGTGCGCCAGACCACGGCGCGCCTTTCCCCCTCCCCGCCAGCACGTTTTTTTCGCTGATCAGAGCAAGGCCTTCGAGCGCCTCGGCGTCCGATGCAAGGCGCTCCAGCGCAGATCCAAGAAATCCGCGCAGACCGTCCAAAGTTTATGTTTATGTCGTTTTCTCTCCTTCGAATCACACGAGGCGGGTCCCGACTGGGGGCCCCCCCGGGTTCTGTCGTCAGCATCGCCCAGCGAGCCTCGTCCCTCACGAATTCCCTGCCTTGGTCTGGTTATATCGAGCGCCGCCTGCGCCCAGAGGCCCCCCCCGCACTTCCGGGCTGGGGTGGCTGGCATGACCCTCGGGCCTCCCTGCCCCATTCCCTTCGCGTGGCCCCCATCCCCCAGGGGTCGCCCCGGGGACCTTCGCCACCACCCGACGTCCCCGCACCCCCCCCTCAGGAGATGCTAAGTCCAGACGGAATAAGTCCATACGGAGACCGAACACTCCGTATGGACTTACTCCGTATGGACTCCGTAAGGACTTGGCCTCCTATCGGGGGAGGCCGAGTCCAAACGGAGGAAGTCCACACAGAGACCAGACACTCCGCATGGACTGACTCCGCATGGACTGACTCCGCACGGACCTAGCCTCCGCCGACCCCCCCCCCCCCCCCTGGCCCCCCGCCCCCGGTTGGGCCTGCCCGGGCTTCTGCCCTGCCGCCGCTGCCTCCGCTTTCGCGCCCCTGCCCCGCCTCGGGCCCTTCGGGCCCTTCGGCCCCCTCCCTTCCGGCCCCTCCTCCCGCCGTCGCCTCCCCTGCCGCCCCCAGGTCCAAGCAGCGCGCCCACGGCGCCCGCCACTGGCTCCGCGGGCCCCCCGCCTGAGACCGCCGCTCGGGTCCGGCTCACGTCGTCGGTGGCGTCTCTCCGTCTCTCCAGCTGCCCAACTGCTGGGAGCGCGGCCTCCGCGAGCCCGGTGAGGCCTTGCCTCGGGCGTGGACCGTGCGGCGGCCACGCCGCCTCCCGCTGCCTCCCCCCGGGCATCGCCTCGCCCTTGGCCTCCGGACCGGCCTCGCCCTCGGCGTGCAGCTAACACTGCGAAACCCCCAGAGCACCAGATGGTCGGCCGACCACGCGGACACCTCGGCCCTCCCTGCTCAGTCCAGCCAGCGCCTGGCGCTCTGGGAACTGGCGTGGCCCCCGCGCAAGCAGAAGCGCAAGCAGAAGCGCTCCAGGGCGGGAGCCCCTGCTTACCCACACCCAACGGTGCTCTTTCTCACCCGACGGTTCTCACTGCCGCCTCGGAAGCGTGGCGTCGGTATCCCAGCCTTCACCAGCCAGTGTCGATGACCGTGTGCATCTTCCGTGCCTGCCGAGCGTACGTGCACCACGGCAGCCAGTGCGAGTGCACGGAGCTCTGAGCCCGAACTGCGGAGAGCACCGCTTCCCCGCTCCGCTACCGTACGAGGCTGAGAGTGGGCATTACCGACAACGGTCCTTTCGCCTCGTGTCAGCGCCGCCGTCGAGCGATGATTACTGCATGATGCGAATTGGCAGTGGACAACAGTGCACGGCGATGAGCGGGGATGGAACGCAAGAGCAGAGCAGCAACAGGACGAGAAAAACGAACGAGGGAACGAAACCTGCGCCGAGGAATTGGAGCCTCCATGTTGACTCCCCCGTCTTCTCGTTGGTGAACAAGCGCTCACCACCTGCCCATCAATGCAATCGGCTGCAAGAACAACAGACCCAAGTCGTTGGAGGCGATGAGTCAAACAGAAAGGTAAAAAGAAAGATAGAGAGAGAGAACAGAAGAACTATACGACGCCGTGACGAAGCGGCAGACCGAAAGAGAGAGAGAGAGAGCGAAACAAAAATAGTGTCAGCAAAATACCGAACAAACAGACAGACAGACAGACAGACAGACAGACAGACAGACAGACAGTCAGACCGGCAGGCCAACAGACAGACATCTAAACGAATGGAACAAGCAAACAACACGAAAGAAAGGAGGCGGAAAGCCAAGCAGATGAAAGCCTGGGACCAGCATCCCCAAACAGCGCGCTTGTACGCCACAGTGGCTCCTGAGAAAGATCGCGCGCCCTTCTGCACCTGACTCGCCCGCGCCGTCGGCGTCGCCGTCCTTCGCCATCGTCATGGTCGTCGTCCTCATTGTCCGCATTCGTCATTATCCGACTCGCCCTCGCTTTCTCCCCCCTTCCACTGCACCTTCTCCTCCTATCCCTCCTCCCCCTCCGACTCTCTGCCTCCAGTTCCTCCTCCTCCTCTTCCTCCTCCTCCTCCTCCCCCCCCTCTTCCTCGTCCTCGTCCCCCTCCTCCCCCTCACCACTTATGGCTCTGAAGCTTTAAAATGGCAAGAGCTTCACGGATTGAGGGCGGGTGGTTTCAAAATGTAGCTCTCGCCTTAGCGCCACACACATTCGATGTGAAAAATTGCAAGAGCTTCACGGATTGAGGGCGGGTGGTTTTCAAGATGTGGCTCTCGCCTCAACGCCGCGCATATTCGTTTTCAAAAAAATGCACGAGCTTCACGGATTGAGGGCGGTATCTTTGCAAAATGTGGCTCTCGCCATGGCGCCGCGCACATTCGTTTTAAGGATTTGGAAGAGTTTACGGGTTCCCATGATCAACGCACCAGAAATGGTCTTTGGAAAGCTTCAGCATTCATTATGCGGGTGCAACAATTATGTGGATTCGCGGCGTTGAAGCTGCCAAAATGGCGTTCTGGCAAGGTTCCGGATTCTGGATCGTCAACACGCAGCAGTCAGGTTGACCCGTGGCGTTGAAATCCCGAGAGCGATGTTTTGACAGTCTTCACAGTCTTCAAGGGTGTTTTCCAACGAGGCAATTCCCTCAATGGAAATGAACCGTTGTAGGGGCATATGAAGAGAGAGCTTGGAGGGAGGGTTCATTCCAACATCGATGACGACTCTTTGGTTTACACTGGTCCTCCTCCTCCTCCTTCTTTGTCCTCCTTCCCATTCACACTCCTCTTCAGCATTATCCTACGCCTCATCGTCAGCATCATTATCACCATCCTTTTCCCCCATCATCCAATCATCCGCCCACCTACTCCTCCTCATTGCGCCGTCTCGTCCCAGGTTACTACGGGGCAGAAAACCCTCGGGGGGCCAGCAATATGTAACCACTCAGCCAGACAGCGAGCCATCATGCTTCTCTTCCTCCAACTTCCACCTCACTGCCATTATCACTGCGAATTTCCTTCACCGCGAACACACTGCACCTGCCCACCACCTAATACTTGTCTTACGTGAGCTGGTGACCCGCACAAACACCAGCCCTCTCCAGTCCTGGGAATCAACGAACCAGCTGGGCAACCGACTCCCAAAAAGGACGAGCCAGAACGATCGTCGACTCCAAGAAACCACATAAAATGCAGCGATGAGATTATGCGAGAGAGGCAGACGAGCCGACGCTGATGAATAAAGAAAAGCCAGAGAAGAGCGAGGCAGACCCAACTAATAAGAGAAATGCGCGCACCTGACTCGCAATCGCCAATCTTCCACGGTGATGGCAAAGGCGTGCTCTGGAGAGCATCGGCTATGAAATGGACAATTGCCTCGTCTTCGGAGACACCCACGATGCCAGAGGCCGCCACATAGGGAGCCCAATCCTTGCGAACCAACAACAATGAGTCCATGACGAGATGTGCGCACATGCAAGAGTAGTATAGCACGCATAGGCCTGATCACCTCAAACCACTAAAAAAAGTGCAGGTAGGTGTTAGCTTGAAGCCCGTCTCGCATACACCCTGGTGAACCGAATAGCTTACGAGCAATTCTCGACTTGCGAGGTGTCTTCTCTCTCGTAAGCACGTCGTGACAGTCCTGGCCATGCTTATTTCTGTGTAGATGTGTTAATGTAGACCAACGACAACAAAACAGACACAAATTAAGACACAAAACAGACACATAACAAAACACTCAGCAAAAAAAAAAAAACATAACAACAGTAAAATGTGCGACAGCGATAGGACCCTTAGAAGGAAAACAGGGAACAAAACAAAAAACATGCGCCCGCCACCAGGGCCTCCAGGCTGTGAGCCGTTGCGTTGAACTGTCCTATACAACGTTGGAATGACGCATCACATGCAGCAACTCTGTCCTGTCCGCCTCTGTAGATCTGCCCCCGGCTTCCGAAACGCCCTAAAAACAATCTTCGTCAGGTTCGAAAAACTGCCACGAGAAAACCGAATGGCCCCAGACTGTCCCTCACGGCCAAAGGTCACCACAACAGGAACCGAAATGGCGCCAAGAAGGCCTGGAAGATCCGTCCAGAAGGCCCGGAAAAGCTTCCATCCTCAATGCCCTCGAATCAAAAACCCATGAAATGGCGGGGAGTCCGAACTTGCCCATGCAGGGCCGCAAGAGGGCCCAAATAATCCGCTTGAAGGCCCGAGCAAAACCGCTCGAGGTAATCTTTTTCGAGCCCCTACAATGCCCCACGAAACTGTCTGTGATGGACATCAGATCAGTCCAACACGTACAAACAGAGACCTCATAGGCATCAAGAGCCATGCGTACGAGGGGGAGGAGGAGGAGGAGGAGGAGGAGGAGGAGGAGGAGGAGCAGCAGCAGCAGCAGCAGAAGGATGGAGCCCTCGATTCCCAGGGGGCAGCTGTGGCGAAGGCTTCAATATGTTAGCAGCCGCGGGTCACCGGCACTTGTAGCACATCGACGCCGAAGGTGGAGTACCAAAACCAAGAGGTTAACCAACGAAGCGCTGGATAAATCAAGAATGATGCGTCGAGATGGTGAACCCCGTCATGGTATTGCACGCCGCGGTGATGAACGCCTCGGTAATGAACGGCCGAGACCCTCAGAATCCGAATTAGCATGGGAGACGCAGTATTTACGGCCATCTCGACCTCAACCACTTGCAACAAAAAACGCTAACACTACTATTGCCGTCGCCGCTGTCACACACAGGCATGACACATCAAACCGCACGCAACAGATTGTCGACATAGTCTTATCATAAAAATGAAGATCAAGCTCACCCTCGACATCATCATCACAATGCTGGCAGCCGCCGTTTACGACCAAGAAGTAGCACAATGACCGACATAACCAGCATATGCTAATGCTGGCAAGCCCTCCATCCCCAACTTCTGCAGCGCCCGACGAAAACTACCAGTCCTAATCATATCATGTTCCCGAGGTGCCCTTTTCCTAGAAAACATAACACCCAAATTTGGACGGCGCGAGGAAAAGCAAGCACACGATTGGTGCGAAATTCTTCCAAATCCCACTACTGACTGGAAAAACATATACGCTTCTCCTTGGCCGTGGAATCCTCCATTTTCCAAATTCTCTTCCTGCTTAAGCTTAACGTCCGAGGGCATCCCCCGTGTGAACGCGCATTCGTCCCCAAGTCCTGTAACCATGATGGTCGCTTAGGAAAGAAAAAACTACGTAATTACTCAGACGAAAAGACTCCACATGATAATCGGATAAGCTTGCCTGAAGATATCATCTTGCCTCCCCCTCCTCCTACACCCTCCTGACTCCTGCTTCTCCTCTTGCCTCGTCCTCCTGCCTCAGTCTCTTTCTGCCTCCTCCTCCTCCTCTTCCTCCTCCTCCATATGCCTCCTCCTGCATCCTGCCTCTTGCCTCCTCTTGCCTGCTGCTGGTACGCCTCCTCCTCTTTCTCCATGTCTTCCATTTCCTGCTCCTCCTCATCATTATCATCGTCATCATCACCATCAGCATCATCATCACCACCATCATTATCGTCCTCGTCCTCGTCGCCCTCGTCATCGCCGTCATCCTCCTCCTCCTTCTCCTCCTCCTCTTCCTCTTCCTCGTCATCCTACTCCTGCCTCCTCCTTCTCCACCTCCTCATCCTCTCTCCTCTTCCTTCTCCTCCTCCTCCTCCTCCTCCTCCTCATCCTCCTCCTCCTCCTCATCCGCCTCCTCCTCCTCATCTTCTTCCTCCTCCTCCTCACTCTCATCCTCCTCCCCCTTCGGCCTCCTCTTCCTCCTCCTTGGGCCTCCTCGGGCCTCCCGGAGCTTCCCAGGGCGTCCTGGAGCCTTCTGGGGTCTCCTGGGGAACTCTTCCTGTCCTACTCATCCATATCCTCCTCCGCCTCCTCCAACTCCTCCTCCTCCTCCTCCTCATCTCCTCCTCCTCCTCCTCCTCGTCCACCTCCTCCTCCTCCTCCTCCTCCGCCTCCTCCGCCACATCCTCCGCCGCATCCTCCTCCTCCTCCTCGTCCTCGTCCTCCACCTCCTCATCCTCTTCCTCCTTCTCCTCCTCCTCCTCCTCCTCCTCCTCTCCTCCTCCTCCTCCTCGTCATCATCATCAACATCATCATCATCATCAGCAGCAGCATCATCAGCATCAGCATCATCATCATCATCATCATCATCATCATCATCATCATCATCATCATCATCATCATCATCATCATCATCATCATCATCATCATCATCATCATCATCATCATCATCATCATCATCATCATCATCATCATCCATCATCATCAGCAGCAGCAGCATCTGCAGCAGCATCATCTGCAGCAGCATCACCAGCAATAGCAGCAGCACCACCACCACCACCACCATCATCATCATCATCATCATCATCATCATCATCATCATCATCAGCATCATCATCATCATCATCATCAGCAGCAACATCATCACCATCATCAGCAGCAGCATCATCATTATCAGCATCAGCATCATCATCATCAGCAGCAGCAGAATCATCATCATCATCATCATCATCATCATCATCATCATCATCATCATCATCGTCATCATCAACATCATCATCATCCTCACCAGCATCCTCATCATCCTCATCATCATCAGCATCATCAGCAGCATCAGAATCGGCATCATCAGCAGCAGCATCATCAGCATCATCGTCGTCAACAGCATCATCAGCATCATCAGCATCGTCACCATCATCAGCAGCATCATCATCGTCTCATCAGCAGCATAATCACCCTCATCATCAGCATCATCATCGTCATCATCAGCATCATCATAATCATCATCATCATCAGCATCAGCACCATCAGCATCATCATAATCACCACATCATCAACATCATCAGTATCCATATCATCATCAGCATCATCAGCAACAGCATCAGCATCTGCAGCAGCATCATCAACATCACCACCACCACCACCACCATCATCATCATCATCATCATCATCATCATCATCATCATCATCATCATGATTATCATCCTTATCGTCCTGTCTCTTCGTCTTTCTCCTACTGTCTCCTCCTTCTCCTGACTCCTCCTCCTCCTCCTCCTGCTCCGCTTCCTCCTCCTTTTCCTGGCTCCTCCCTCCCCCTCCTCCTCCTCCTCCTCCGCCTCCTCCTCCTCCTCATCCGCCTCCTCCTCCTCCTCAAGCCTCCATCTCCTCCTCCTCCTTCTCCTCCTCCTCCTCCCTCCTCCTCTCCTCCTCCCACTCCTCCTCCTCCTCATCCTCCTCCTCTTCTTCTTCTTCTTCCTCCTCCTCCTCCTCCTCCTCCTCTTCCTCCTCATCCTCCTCCCGCTCCTCCTCCTTCTCCTCATCCTCCTCGTCCTCCTCCTGCGTCATGCCTCCTCCTCGAACCTCCTGCTGCCACCTGGAGACTCGTGGGGCCTCCTGAAGCTTTCTGGTGCCTCTAGGCCCCAGGGTACTCCTGGGACCTCCCGGGGCCTCCCGTGGCATTCTGGAGATCTACTTGGGCCTCCCAGGAATTCTTGGGGGCTCTGGGGCCTCCTGAGGCCTCTGGGGCCTCCTGGTGCCTCCGGGGGCCTCCTGAAGCTGCCTGTGGTTTCCTGGAGCCTCCTGAAGGTTCCGGTGACCTTCGGAAGCTTTCCGAAGGCTCCCGCTCGAGACTTCCTCGCGGTTCACTCACTGAAGACGCTCCCGCTCGAGACTTCCAAGCCTGGGGGGGCCAAAAAGTGGTGTAATTACAAGATTCCGATGACCCCGGTCGAATTCTAACATGGAGATGGGGAACCTATACGAAGGGCAGATTCAAGCCGGAGGATCCCACTTACCAACATGAAGTGCGGGCCCCATAGGGAAGGGGGCCCCGCTCGAGACCTCCTCACGATTTGCTCCCTGCTCTGCTCGAGTGCTATGCCTGCTTCACTACGCCGATGAACCGCCCGAATTACCAACATGAGATGCATGCCCCACTGGGAAGGGGTTCCCGCCTGAGCCTTCCTATCAATTAACTTACAGACGAAGCCCCCCCTGGAGGCATCTTCACGATTTGCACCCGTGGGGTGCTCAAATGCTCTGCCTGATACATGTTTCCGATGACCCGCTCGGATTTGAACGTAAAATGCGGGCCCCATATGGAGGGGGCTCCCGCCTGAGACTTCAACACAATTCACTCACGAACGAGGCCCCCTCTCGAGACATCCTCACGATTTGCCTCCGCGGGGTGCTCAAATGCTCTCGGATTCGAACATGAAGTGCGGGCCCCTTAGGGAGGGGGCTCTCGCCTGAGACTCCCGTGCAATTCACTCACAAACGGGGCCCCCGCTCGAGAAATTCTCACGATTTGCCCCCTTGGGACGCTCGAGAGCTATGCCTAGTAGATGTTTCCGATGCGGGCCCGTAGGGAGGGGGCTCCCGCTCGAGACATCGCTCAAGGTGAGTATGTAAGTGTGTGAGTGTGAGTGAATGCATGCTGATAACGATGATGATAACGATGATGAAAATGATAATGATAATGGTAATGATAACAATAATGAGAATGATAATGATCATGTTAATGATAATGATAATGATAATTATGACGACAATGATAATGATAATGCTATTTGTAATGAAAATGATAACGGTAATGATAATGATACTGCAAATGATACTGATACTGATACTGATACTGGTAATGATAATGATACTTATATTGATACTGATACTGATACTGATACTGATACTGATACTGATACTGATAATGCTCATGCCAATGAGAATGAGAATGATAATGATACTGAAATTGATAATGATGATGATACGGATACAGATAATGGTAATGCTAATGATAATGATGATGATAGTGATGATGATGATAATGTTGAAGAAAATAATAATGAGAAGGATAATGAGAATGATAATGATAATGATAATGATAATGATAATGATAATGACAATGATAATGATAATGGTGATGATGATGATGATAATGATAATGATAATGATAATGATGATGCTAATGATAATGACAATGACAATGATAATGATCATGCTAATGATAATGAGAATGATAATGGTAATGATAACGATCATGATAATGATAATGATGATGATAATGATGATGATAATGGTAATGATAATGATAATGATAATGATAATGATGATGATGCTGATGAGGATGATGATCATCATGGTGATGAAGACGATGATGACGTTGATGACGATGTCGATGATGACGATGGTGATAAAGATGATGACGATGATGACGATGGTGATGATGATGAGGATGCCGAGGATGAGGATGCCGATGATGATGATGACGATGACAATGGTGATGATGATGGTTGATGATCCTGATGGGATGGTGATAGTGATGGTTATGATGAGTGTGATGACGATTGTGATGGTGATGGTGATGAGGAGGAAGAGAAGGGTGAGGAGAGATCCTGCGCGGAGATGTGCAGAGAAAAGAACAACCCCGCCCACTTTGGATGTGGGGAAGTATCGACTTTCGGAAATCGGCGCGGAGTTCGTCAATCTGCGCTGGGCCCCTCTGGCGCCGGAGGCACCGCCAGAGGGGCCCAGCACCGACCCAAGATATCCGCGCGGAGCTCCGAAAGTTTTGTTGACGCCGTTTGTTTTTCCTCGGCTCACGCATAATTGCTCACTCTGCAAGGGTCGGCGGCGAGCGAGCGGGGGAAGCGAGAAGGAGAAGGCCTTCTCAAAAGGTTCGGAAGTCCCCCGGCCTTCCGAGAAGCTTCCTGAGGCTTCCCCGACGACCAAAAAAATAGCAGAAGGCGCGGGGGGTTCTGGGAAGGCCTCCTCTTTCTCACTTCCCCCCCTCGCTCGCCGCCGAACAGTTCCGCACTCTGCCAGAAGGGAGCAAATCGTGTCCGAAGCAGGCGTCACGGGGATCGTGGCCGACGCCCTGGCACCCATTGCACCGGCCAGAGCAGGCCAGAGCCCCCCCCTTTCCGGGGGGCGGGGCGCGCGACCGGAGCTGCCTAAGGTACGAGGACATGCCTTGCCGTCAGAGCCACGCGTCGACCGCATCAACACAAATCTTCTAGATTTCATGAAGAGTGGCTGATGTATATTATGTGTAGTTTAACGATGCCCTGTCCACTACTATTCTCTTGCATGCGCGCTTTGCTGCCGTAGTGTCTCACGCCCTCCGGCTCCGCTTGTGGAGCGAGGTGCCTCCATAGGCCCCTCGACCGGACTTGACTGATTGACTGATTGACTGAGGGAAGCAGTCGCCACACGTGCACCCTATTTCACAACAATGGTACGCACTCTCTCGCAAGTGTTCCAGGCCGATCCTTCAAGATGGCAATCCGTGCAGCAGTAAACGCCATGTGCGAGCAAATCACCATGCAACAAACATGAATATATACGACCTTCATGGATCACGACACTGGTCCGCCAAGCCGGCTGCCCCGAATGGTAGCGCAAGACACACACGCTGCTAACAAAACTCGCAAGCATCACGCGTCGCATTGCTGCTGCGACCAGCCCACCCCCGCCCCTTTTGAGGCCATAGGGGACACAAGTGCACAGGCCTCGGCACACGAGATTGCGCTGGCCAGCCCTCCCGTCTTCGCAGTCACGACGCGCGTCAGAAAGCCACGGGACACGAGACCGCACTGGCCTGGCCCGACCACCCTGCGACCGCAAGAGGAAGCGAAGAGCCACGGGGCCACGGGCGACGAGGACCCCGCTTGCCGGCCCAACCCAACTCTGCCGCGGCGGACCGCGGGTCCACGACCCATGACCAACGAGCTCGGGTCCTGCACTGCAGCCTGCCCCAACGCCCCGGCACCGCAGGGCCACGAGCACCAGCGCGCGAGATCGCGCTTCGTCGGCCCAGCGCCCCCTCGCGGCGACGGGGCCACTGGGCCTCGGACCCGACCACGAGATTTAAGTCGGGCCTGTCCCCCTACAGGGGATTTTCGACGAAAAATAAAGAATACCCCAAAAATAATCAAAAAATAATCCAAAAATAGTCAGGTGACTATTTTTGGAGTATTTCTTTACCTTGTGGGGGTATTTTGGGGGTACTTTTAATTTTTCGTCGAAGATCCCCCTGTAGGGGGACACCCCCGACATACCACGAGATCGCTTCGAGTCCCGCCCTCTCCGCGGCCATGTGGCCCAGGGGCCGCGGACACCGAAGCACGAGATCGCAGCGCGGTCATCCGCCTCCCTGGGGCCACGGGGCCGCAGCAGGGCCAGGGCCCCGGGCGCCGGGACACGAGAGAAAAGCGCTCCCCCGGCCCAGCGGCCCCTCGCTGCGGCCGTGGGCCCCTGAGGCCGCGGGGCCACCGCCGCAGGAGATCGCAGTGCTCCTCCTCCTCCTCCTCCTCCTCCTCCTCCTCCTTCTCCTCCTCCTGCTCCTCCTCCTCCTCCTCCTCCTCCTCCTGCTCCCCCTCGTTTTCGTCCTCGTCCTCCTCCTCGTCCCTCTCCTCATCCTCCTCCTCCTCCTCCTCCTCCTCCTCCTCCTCCTCCTCCCTCCTCCTCCTCCTCCTCCTCCTCCCTCCTCCTCCTCCTCCTCCTCCTCCTCCTCCTCCTCCTCCTCCTCCTCCTCCTCCTCCTCGACTTCCAAGGCGGCCGACGAGAGCCCAACGGCGCGACGTGCGCAGCCGTGGCGGGCGGAGCACGTCCTCCTCTGGGGGGCCGGTCGGCCCCAGCGCGCGCAGGCGCCGGGGTGCGCAGAGTTGGCTCGGGGGCGTCCCGCCCTCGGACTCGCTGATTGCGCGCGCTGGCCACTTGGGATCGTTTTCTGGAGCAACACGTTGCACGATCACACTGCAAGACGCCATGCGGAAAACGTGCAAAGGCCGTGAAACAACACCTGAACCTACAGAAGTTCCATTCGGCCAGGACAGAGTTCTCGAAGCCAAGGATCGCAGAAGCGCAGGCAAAAGGACCTGAAACTCTTTGTTACCCAATGCGCAGACAATGCACTCAGAAAATAGCAGTGAAAAGATAGACCCCGAAAAGCGCGGACCGACTCGGGTGGTCAGGAGCCCAAGCGGACCATGACGGCAATTCGCAATAACCTACATCGATAAGTTGTTGAACTGTCAGCCCAACATCACCATGCAATGAGCGATCTTGAAATGACGGAAGGCGTCCAAATCGGATACTCCGAGATATTATGAAATGTTGCAACAAAGGTGCCAGATGACAGTCAAAGTGAATTCGGAACTCACTGTATCACTTGCTCATCCTTTATGCTTGTTGACCACTATCTTCCCCTTCCTCGTACTGTACTGTATTGTCTTAGATGTTTTGTTTATTGCCCGTTTCCGCTCCTCCTCCTCTTCGTTATCTACCCCTCTGGTTGGCGAGATATGAAATATCATGGTCTGCACTGCCTTCTGTCTCTTTTACCTCCCGTTCCTCGTCATCTTTTCACCGTCGCTCATTTCAGCTCTCACTGAAATCATCCCCTCCTCTTCGCCCCCTCCTTCCTATTGTTCCTCGCTGCTCTCTCTGCCCTATGGCACTTCCTGCATACTTCATAACTGCGTGCGGGGTGAAGTCACACAACTGTTTTCAAAAGTCCGATGGAAACCAACGAAACACACTCGGAAATTATAGCTATAACTGTATATATATATATATGTATGTGTGTGTACCTCTGTCACCTTCGACACGGCGCTGGATCTCCAAGGACGACTTCCGCTTTGCAAATTAATCAGATTGATCCACACGTCCGCTTGCCCGAAAACACAAGCCCTGGGTGGGAAACCGAACGTGGCCGAAAGAATTCACAAAAATAGGCATAGATAGAGAACTTCCGTGAACTACCACGCTGGCTTCACGCACCGGATGAAACGGGTTCTCCCAAACGCATCACATGCCGTATCTGAATCGAAAGAAACAGAGCCACCAAGCAGTAGTGCGCCGAGACGCTGGCAAAAACGACCAACGGATAACACAAGAAAACGACATGTAAACATGCCAAATACATGAGAAGCTGGACACGGCCGACTGAGACGAAGTGTGGAAAACGGTAAAAGAAACACTCCCCTAGCGTCGCAATCGTTGTTCTGCACATGTGCCGTGAGGCGGTGCGGACATGCAAGACCCTTCGAGGGACCCAATACGAAAAACTGAAACTGCGATCGCGCGTTGCGAAGGGAACTGCGGACTTGTACATATGTGTATATGTATGTATCTTTATGTATTGGCCAACACCTCAACAACCGATCACAAAGGCCCCTCGAGCTGCGCGACAGAGAACACCGATGGAAAATAGTGACGACGGCACTGCAAGTCGCACTCGGAGCAACACCCAGGGCTCACAACGACCAAGCCTGCCTTACATGACGACAGGTCAACAATCAGGCGTCCGAACAGCCTTCTCCAGGAGCCAATTCCTGGGACTTGGCTTCGTTTTAAAATCCGGCTAAGCGTTTGGATGGTTTGGACGGTAAAAAAACCTTTGACTTGATGTACAGGAAACGTGGAGGATGATAACATGTATTGTTTGAAAGCTACGAAACACACCAAAACTCTGTGAAAATACACATCCGTGTGTATGTACATCACGCGTTGACATACGACTGCATGTGTAGACATGCACGCACACGCGTGTGTGTATATATAAACACATACGTACGTACAAAAGTGCCTGGCAAAATTGTGGAATACGCCGACCACAAAATGTTACACACTCGCAACAGAAAATCTAAACCTTGACCACAATACTGAATCAGGGGAACCGAACTGAAACAAACCCCGCGACAATCACATGATCCAAATCGGCTGACCCCCGCCCCGCTTGCCGGGAGTTGCGCGTCAGACAATTGGCTGTTCCTTCCCCTCTCCCCCTCCCCTGGTGTCTGAAATCCTGTCAAAGGAATGGGGGCCAACGGGCCCAGGGAGGACCTGGGAGAACGCTGCGCAATACGGCGTTTCAAAGAAGACCAACACGCTGACATGATGCCAGACGTCGGGAGAACGGCTCCACAGGCAAAGGCGGCGAAAAGAAACAAGTCGACAAACCACCATGCTCGCGCGACCAAGTCCGAATGACTGAAACGTGTAAATTGTGATGCACGTTAAAATCTCCAAGCAAAATGCAACCAACGGACTTAGAAAAACAACGATCGACTTCTGAAGGTGAGGCAAATAAGCAATTGTCCCGTGATTACGGTGTCCATAAATTTACCCCACGAGCACGGCACCACAACACAATGCACTAGAATCCAGGAAGCCCAAAGAATTACGCAAAAACATATATATATAATAATACTGGAATCAAGCGCTAAAAACAGTTAAACCTCCTGCTTCCTGACTGCTATCGCACTGCGCGGGGATCTGTATCTGGTCAGCGACAGCATGCAAACTGAAGCGTCGAACCACGTTCGTACGATGTAAACTAAATGGAAAAACCAAGAGAAAAAGACGAGAAGAGAATTTGCCGGAATGAGCATTGACAAATTTTTAACTGCTGCAAAAAAAAATCAGATCTGAAACAGCAACAGACGGCGAAAGCTGCCACAGCAACCGTCCGTAACACCGATATGGCTCAACAAATTCACACAAATTTGGCCGCGAAAAAAGGGACGAAGCGGAGAAGGAAGAACTGGGGAGCTGGGGCTCAGGCTCACGGAAGCTGGGGTTCAGGCTCAAGAAAGGGCGCCGAAACGGACGAACCACCGCGAGCCACGACGAAAACAAAGAGTTCCGCGGCCCACGGGACTGCCCTGGAAAGCCTGGACGGGGGGGAGGTCCCAAAGGGGGGTGGCCCAAAAAAGCTGGCATAGGCTCAGGGCCGAGCGCCGCGGAACGAACCATCATGACTCACGACGAAAATAAAGGGTTCCGCGGCCCAGGGGGGGCTGCCCTGGGAAGAGGGTGGTTCCCAAAGCGGGGTGGCTTCCAAGGCTCCCAAGGCGTAGCCATCTTGGCTCAAGCTGTTGTGGCTCAAGCCGTTGTGGCACGAGCTATCCACTTGAAGCCTGTCGCTGGGGCGGCC